ACTATGGACCCCAACAAAGACCGATAAAGACCAAACTTGGCACACAGAGCCCCCATGATCCACTCTACATCCTACTGCTGTTTGGAGGAGGGTGGGCCATGGATGATGGGGCTTGCAGTACATCCACTCTCTTCCCGAGATTACTGCAACCCTCATTCAATGACTAATCAAGACCATACTTGGCACACCCCATGACCCACTCTACATCCTGGTGATGTTTGGAGGACGATGAACCATGGACGACGGGACTCGCAGTACCTTCACTAACTTCCTGAGAGCACTGCGAGCCACATAAATAGCTGATAAAGACCAACCTTGGCGCACAATGCCTTTCTCAAATTATCCAGACAATGCCGGGTCCCCAAGATAGTAAAATATAAAATCCAGTAACTACATACATTCAAAGCATTAAATCACGTTAATTAATTGAAATCTGTTTCTGTTTCAACAACAGCCTGGTGGCCTTATCTGAGTTGAATTCTGTAGTTAGAGATTCCATCAATCATGTCCATAGTCCATTTCCATAGCAACTGTCATCATTGTCACTGTCATTGTCAGCAAGATTACCCAAAGGCCTGGTCCCACATCCACATTTTTAACTTCTTTCTAAAGGAAAGGAGGGGCGTCAACAATCTAATTTCACTGGGGAGTGAATTTCATAGGGGGGGGGAGACACCACCGAGAAGGCCCTGTCCCTCGTCACCGCCAAGCTCATTTGCGGCAGAGGTGGGGCCGAGAGCAAGGCCTCCCCAGAAGATCCAGAAGACTTCTGGTCCAAATCATGTTGAGTATCCCTTATTCAGAAATCTGAAAAATGCCAAAGCTTGAGCTGAGAGATTAAGACTTTGTGATGGCCGAATGTACACAAACCTATGTAATAATAATAATAATAATAATAATAATAATAATAATAATCTTTATTTATACCCCACTACCATCTCCCCAAGGGACTCGGTGCGGCTTACATGAGGCCGAGCCCATAATACAACAATACAAGCAATAACAACAACAATACAAGCAATTAAAATCAATACACAAAAACAGTAAAACCATAGCATAAGCATTAACAGTAGGACAACACACTTTAAAATCTATGGGTAGGGCGAATGTAGTTAAAAATTTAAAAAATAATGCTGGACATGGGCGAAAAAGTGATGGGTTGTTTGTGGAAACATACAAGCAGACCTAAAACAATATAAAGTGCTTTGGAGGACAAAGTGCTATGGGATCATTATTCTGGGAAGGCACACTGGCACAACCACGTCTTCAAGCTCCTCTTAAAGACTGCCAGAGTTGGGGCAAGCTTGATGTCCTTAGGAAGTGAGTTCCAGAGTCGAGGGGCCACCACCAAAAAGGCCCTCTCTCTCGTCCCCACCAATCGCGCTTGCAATACAGGTGGGAGTGCGAGCAGGGCCTCTCCAGATGATCGAAGAGATCGCGTGGGTTCATATACCGAGATGCGGTCACGCAGGTAGACGGGTCCCAAACTGTTCAGGGCTTTGTAGGTGAGAACCTGCACCTTGAATTGAGTCCGGAAAATGAATGGCAGCCAGTGGAGCTCCTTAAACAGAAGGGTTGACCGCTCCCTGTAAGGAGCCCCAGTTAACAACCTGGCTGCCGCCCGTTGGACCATCTGGAATTTCCGAGCCGTTTTCAAGGGCAGCCCCACGTAGAGTGCATTACAGTAATCCAGTCTAGAGGTGACTAAGGCACGGACCACCCTGGCCAGATCCGCCTGTAGCTGAATCTCGGCAGAAAATGCCCGGAACAAATTGAAAACAGTAGGAAAAGACTGGGTTACAGATTGGTTGAATCAATCAAGAAAGCCATGGCCCCAAGTTTGCAAGACCTGAGCAGGTAAGTCACTTGGAGAGCTCTCACTGATGCTGACCTGACAGCAAATAACAAACAAAGGTGTCCTTGAAAGTTCAAGAAGAAGAAACTGCAGGTGAATAGTTTGAAGGAGGATAGCTTTGTAGAAATGATGAGCAGCCCAGAAAGGAAAGAGTCCAGCCGCTGCTCTTGTTCTGGATGCAGGAAGGTCACTTCACCCCAACATTCAAAGAGCAGCCTTGAGGGAGATATGTTTCGATTGCCATAGCGATGGCATTACTGCCTCCTCTCCAAATTCAATTACGGGATTTCAAAGGTCTTGCTTCTCCTTTGCCCTTTTATGCATTAAGCCAAGGTCTCCTTGGTTTGGTTTCAAAGGCACATGTGGTGCCTGCAATTCTCAATCTTCTCTCCTGATCTATTTAATTTGGTTGGGGATAACCTTCTTCTCCGTATCCAAAATGTGCTATCTATCTATCTATCTATCTATCTATCTATCTATCTATCTATCTATCTATCTATCTATCTATCTATCTATCTATCTTGCAATCCATCCGAAATAAAAATAAATGTGTGTGTTATAAATTATATAATTATAAATAGTAATAATATAAAATAATAATATTATAGTATTATTGAAATAATAATAAATAATGCAATACTCCAGGTATTACCGTCCTTCTGCTCTACCTTAGAATTATAAATAGGAGTAATATAATGACAATCTATATAAATAAAAATGTAATGTTCGTTTGTGGGATTAACAGAACTCAAAAACCACTGGACGAATTGACACCAAATTTGGACCCAAGACAGCTAACAACCCAATGTATGTCCTTCACTCAAAAATTGATTTTGTCATTTCTGAGTGGTAGTTGCTGGGATTTATAGTTCACCTACAATCAAAGAGCATTCTGAACACCACCAACGATGGAATTGAACCAAACTTGGCACACAGTTCTCCCATGACCAACAGAAAATACTGGAAGGATTTGGTGGGCAGTGCCCTTTGGTTTGGAGTTGTAGTTCACCTACATCCAGAGATCACTGTGGACTCAAACAATGATGGATCTGGACCAAACTCTACACGAATACTCAATATGCCCAAATGTGGACACTGGTGGAGTTTGGGGGAAAATAGAATCTTGACATTTGGGAGTTGTAGTTGCTGGGATTTATAGTTCACCTACAATCACAGAGCATTCTGAACCCCACCAACAATAGAATTGGGCCAAACCTCCCACACAAAACCCCCATGTGGGCCACAGCAATGCGTGGCAGGGGACAGCTAGTCCATAATAAAAATACATGTGTGTATTATAAATTATATAATTATAAATAGTAATAATATAAAATAATAATATTATCGTAGTATTAAAATAATAATACACGATGTAATACTCCAAGTATTACCGTCTTTCTTCTCTACCTTAGAATTATAACTAGGAGTAATATAATTTATTATTATATTATATTAATTATATTATTATATATTATATTATATTATATTATATTATATTATATATTATTTTATATATATATATAATATAACTTTATTTAATACCCTGCCACCATCTCCCCAATGGGGACTCGGGGCGGCTTACATGAGGCCAAGCCCAACAGCATATTACAATAAAGTAAAACCAAAACACAATAACAACACAATAAAATACATACAGCATATGAGTACAAAGACGATAAAGCAAAATCATACAGTAAAATAAAATAACATAACAATGAGCGGGCCGCATGTGCAAGATAAAAACTAAGATACTAAAAATACTAAAATCAGGATGATATATAAATAATAGTGTGTGTGTGTGGCTGGGGTGTCCACCTACACAGACAAGCTCCTGCCTCTACAGCTTTAGCTCCCACTACTCAGGAGACACCAAGATAAGCACCAACCCCAGAGCTGGAAATGAAATGGGAAGCCTTTACCTTTATCTGTGTGTATCTGTGTTTCATTGTATCAAGGCATTGAATGTTTGCCTTGTGTCTGTATATGTTGGAATCCGCCCTTAGTCCCCACAGGCAGATAGGGCAGAATATAAATAAATTATTATTATTATTATTATTATTATTATTATTATTATTATTATTATTATTATTTGAAACACAACAAGATGAGTCCACGGCAGACACTCTGCTGGCTGTTGCATTGGATCACACGTCGGACACTTCCCAAGTGTCTAGGACTGTGTGATGTATTATTATTATTATTATTATTATTAAATACATAACAAGATTAGTACACAGCAAACAAGATGACTATGCTGGCTTTTGTATTTGATCACACATCGGACACTTCCCAAGTGTCTAGGACAGTGTGATGTATTATTATTATTATTATTATTATTATTATTATTATTATTAAATACATAACAAGATTAGTACACAGCAAACAAGATGACTATGCTGGCTTTTGTATTTGATCACACATCGAACACTTCCCAAGTGTCTAGGAATGTGGGATGTATCGGCAAATAATGCGTGCAGCTCCGAGTAGGGTGGCCTTTTGCAGCTGGCAGATAGTAATTTTGTCAGCACTGATTGTTTTTAAGTGCAGGCCAGGGTCTTTAGGCACTGCACCCAGTGTTCCAATCACCACTGGGACCCCCTTGACTGGCTTGTACAGAGTCTTTACAGTTCAATCTTTAAATTCTCATGTCCTGTAAAATTGTGTAAGCTTTTCTAGTTTCTATTATTATTATTATTATTATTATTATTATTATTATTATTATTATTTGAAACACAACAAGATGAGTCCACAGCAAACAAGATCTCTCTGCTGGCTGTTGTATTGGATCACACGTCAGACACTTCCCAAGTGTCTAGGACTATTATTATTATTATTATTATTATTATTATTATTATTATTATTATTATTATTATTATTATTATTATTATTATTTGAAACACAACAAGATGAGTCCACAGCAACAAGATCACTCTGCTGGCTGTTGTATTGGATCACACTTCCCAATAATAATAATTATTATTATTATGTCTTCTGACATTTCGGCGATGTAAATAAATAAACTGATCAAACTTGACGTGAACTGAGCGCAAAATCGGGAAGATGACTCTTGCTGGATATCAGGTATCTTGTTTTGCTGAGCGCAGCTTGTGGTTTAGAGCCGGGAACAATGGCTTGAGTGGAATTTTTCAGACACATGGCCTCTGGCTTTGCTCGACATTCCTATTTTGGGCTTTGGAGTTTGCATATAAGCCTTTGGCTTTGCACCCAAATTAGACAGGCGAACTGATCTTCAGTGGGCAAGGAGCACCGCACGCTTGTGAGGATGGGCATCTATGAAGAAAGAGGGTGAGCAAACTGATCAAACCATCCATTTTAGTAAAGGGAAAGTGGGCATCCATCACTCTTAGTGTGTCTTTCTGTATATCTATTATGCATTGAGTCCCTTCGGGGAGATAGGGTGGAATATAAAGAAATAATAATAATAATAATAATAATAATAATAATAATAATAATGTTGTTGAAGGCTTTCATGGTCATAACCGCTGAGTTGATGTTAGTTTTCCGGGTTGTCTGGCCATGTCCCAGAAGCATTCTCTCCTGACGTTTCGCCCACATCTATGGCAGGCATCCTCAGATGGACTGTGTGTGTGTGTATGTATATATATATATATATCTGTGCAATAATGTTCAGGGTGGGAGAAATAACTCTTGTCTGCTTGAGGCAAGTGTGAATGTTGCAATTGGCCACCTTGATTAGCATTGAATGGTTTTGCAGCTTCAAAGCCTGGCACAACTCCTGAGGATGCCTGCCATAGATGTGGGCAAAATGTCAGGAGAGATAGGGCGGAATATAAAGAAATAATAATAATAATAATAATAATAATAATAATAATAATAATAATAATAATGTTGTCGAAGGCTTTCATGGTCATAACCACTGGGTTGTTGTGAGTTTTCTGGGTTGGTTGGCCATGACCAGAAGCATTCTCTCCTGATGTTTCACCCACATCTATGGCAGGCATCCTCGGAGGTTGTGAGGTCTGTTGGAAACTAGGCAAGTGGACTGTATATATATTTGTGCAATAATGTTCAGGGTGGGAGAATGAACTCTTGTCTGCTTGAGGCAAGTGTGAATGTTGCAATTGGCCACGTTGATTAGCATATTAATGGCTTTGCAGCTTCAAAGCCTGGCACCCCTGAGGATGCCTGCCATAGATGTGGGTAAAATGTCAGGAGAGATAGGGCGGAATATAAAGAAATAATAATAATAATAATAATGTTGTCGAAGGCTTTCATGGTCATAACCACTGGGTTGCTGTGTGTTTTCTGGGCTGTCTAGCCATGTTTCAGAAGCATTCTCTCCTGACATTTCACCCACATCTATGGCAGGCATCCTCAGAGGTTGTGAGGTCTGTCGGAAACTAGGCAAGTGGACTGTGTATGCATATACATGTACATGTATATGTATATGAGTGTGTGTGTGTGAGTGATACACACACACACACACACACACACACACATATATATATATCATAGAATCATAGAGTTGGAAGAGACCTCATGGGCCATCCAGTCCATCCCCCTGCCAAGAAGCAGGAATATTGCATTCACATCATATATGTGTGTGTGTGCAATAATGTTCAGGGTAGGAGAAAGAACTCTTGTCTGCTTGAGGCAAGTGTGAATGTTACAATTGGCCACCTTGATTAGCATTGAATGGCTTTGCAGTTTCAAAGCCTGGCACAACCCCTGAGGATGCCTGCCATAGATGTGGGTGAAACGTCAGAAGAGAATGCTTCTAGAACATGGCCATACAGCCTAGAAAACTGACAGCAACCCAGTGATTCCAGCCATGAAAGTCTTCGACAATACGTTGTTGCTGTTTTGCACACCACAAAACACTGAACTGGATTATCTGGCAGTGTGGACTCAGATAGTCCAGTTCAAAGCTGATATTGTGGATGATCTGCCTTGATATACAGCCCGGAAAACTCAAAGCAATGCTATATTATGCATGTTTACCATCTGTTGTTAGTTTGGGGTTCTAAACCCACACGCATAAGGCACATCTAAATTGTCAAATTGATGCAGTTTGACGACACTTTGCCTGCTGTGGTTCAATACTATGCAAACCTAGGTGTTGTCGTTTACGTTTTCAGACAGAGAAGGTCAAAAAGACCTTGTGAGACTACAACTCCCATAACTCTTGTACAGCATTGAGCCAAGTAGAATCAAACCACATTACTTCGAACCTGTAGCCACACTCTTGCACATCTCCTTAATACCATTGTGAGTTGAAACTGACCATAATCAACAAAGCATTGAAATGTGCCTGCTGGTTCTTCAAAAACCAATAGTCATAGAAGGTACCTATGAGCAGTGATGTACAACTTCATGTACGGCAATGTCAGTTACATAACTCTAATTTACAAAACCGTGAACTGAATGAGGTTATGAACTGAATGCAGATGTAATGTCATGGCCCCAAAAGTATAATTACAAGTGTAATAATGGAACTTGTAACCATATTTATTTGCCCCCTGCTATACTATATACTAAAACTATATACCACCTTGTTGTTTTCCTCTTATTGTTGTGTGCCTTCAAGTCATTTTCAGCTTATGATGACCCTAAATCAACCCTGTTTCCATTGCAAGATTTAGATGGGTTTCCTCTGAGGCTGAGAGAGTGTGACTTTCCCAAGGCTACCCAGTGGGTTTCCATGGCCAAACTGGGATTTAAACTAACGTCTCCAGAGTCCTAGCCTTAAGGCTCAAACCACGATACTCTCCTTAAGGGAGCTTACTTTACTTTTACTTAGGCGATCCCTCGTAGCCCGAGGATGATGGTCCTCCAAGTCTTGGTGATGGGTTTGTAGATGACTCTGGAGCCTTATTCTTGATCCGCATGTTCTCCCGCAGTGAGGACATTGGTTTCCAGGTGGAAAGTGGTCCCAGTCAGGATTGGCTTGATGTACCTTCCTCTTTCTCCCTTTTACCCTCCATTCGTGCCTCTTCGAATTCCGCAGCACTGCTGGTCACAGCTGACCTCCAGTTAGAGCGCTTCCCAGTTCTCGGTGTCTATGCCACAGTTTTTAAGGGGACAACGGTGTGTTCAATGGAAAGTGCACCATATTCTATAAACACTTCGAGGTCTTTAAGCGATGGGATGGCGATGGAAGTGCCATGAGGACGAGGAACAGGAGAAGGGCATGGGAACCAGGAGAAATGGCACAATGGGATCTGTAGAACTAGATAGTTGGATGAACCCATTCCATTTCCTTCTCCTTAAAGCACCCTTCAATATTTTGGGTTCTCATCCATATCTATATCAAGACTCTTGAGTTTAAAATATCCTTGGGGTCAGGATGGATCAAGCCGTTACACTTTTTTAAGGCGTCCCGGAACGACTGGAATTTTTTTTTTATAAGCGCCAATGCTTTTCTAAGCAGCATCGTAAAATGTCTCTGGGATAAAATAGAAACTTGCTGGGATGGTCTCAATGATGAAACTATTATTATTATTATTATTATTATTATTATTATTATTATTATTTCACTGACACAAAACATAGTATATCACAAATAATAATAATAATAATAGTTTCATCATTGAGACCATCCCAGCAAGCTATTATTATTATTATTATTATTATTATTATTATTATTATTATTATTTTACTGATACAAAACCCAGTATGTCACAAATAATAATAATAATAGTTTCATCATTGAGACCATCCCAGCAAGCTATTATTATTATTATTATTTTATTGACACAAAACACAGTATATCACAAATAATAATAATAATAATAATAATAATAATAGTTTCATCATTGAGACCATCCCAGCAAGCTATTATTATTATTATTATTATTATTATTATTATTATTATTATTATTATGTATTGTTGAAGGCTTTCATGGCCAGAATCACTGGGTTGTTGTGTGTTTTCCGGGCTATCTGGCCATGTTCCAGAAGCATTCTCTCCTGACGTTTTGCCTGCATCTATGGCAGACATCCTCAGAAGTTGTGAGGACCTCACAACTTCTAAGGATGCTTGCCATAGATGCAGGTGAAACGTCAGGAGAGAATGCTTCTGGAACATGGCCATATAGCCCGGAAAACACACAACAATCCAATAATAATATGGGCAGTGTGTATGATGATGATAGTCATGGCGGCAAAATATTGGGTTGTTGCAGGGAGCAGATTGAACCAAAGAGGAAACCTTATAGCCAGAGAACCAAATATGCAGCTTTCAAACGGAGACGTCCAATAGAACTGCTTTACGCCAGTAAGTATATTGCGTTCTTCTTTCTGGAAACATATAATTTGTGAATGCAAGGGCTTAAAGACTGAGATAGATCTGGATGTTCATTGAAAAAGGAGTTTTGGATAAAAATCAGTTGGCTCTGGTCTGATTGGGAAGAACAGAATTGCACTCTCCTTGTTAAGTCAATTTGATTCACTTTGCAGCCATAAAAAAATAAGGACGGAGGGGGAAAGTGGAGGGTGGGGAAACGGGACATTCTAAAAGTAGCTGAGAAAGTGGGATGGAAGAGGATTAATCAGGTTGTTCCAAATGAAAATCAAGATAATACTATTCCAACTACTGAAATCATAGAAGCCTGAGTTTGGAAGGGACCCCAAGGGGCCATCCAATGCAACCCCAGTCTGCCATGGAAGAAGACACAATCAAAGCCCTCTCGCCAGATGGTCATCCAATCTCAGAGAGATTTGGTGGTTTAATGGAGGAATGGGGTTATAGGAATCAAAGGATCCTAGGATTGGAAGGGAGTTGTCATCCAGTCCAACCCTGGGAAGATGTAATAAAGCCCTCCTGACAGATGGCCATTCAGGCTTTCCTTCAAAACCTCCAAAACACTCCAAAGAAGAGTATTTGTAGTCCTAGCGACTATGTTGCACTTGATGGTATCAGGATAGTTGACAGTTCTTAGATTGCAGGTGAACTATACATCCCAGGACCTACAGCTCCTATAAAGCATGGTGAATTGTCCCGAAACCTCTCTAGTATGTTCAGTTGTTGATAAATTCCTCCGCTTGCTGTGTGCTATAGAAAAGCTGGAATGTGTCCAGAGGAGGGCGACTCAAATGATCAAGGGTCTGGAGAACAAGCCCTATGAGGAGCGGCTTAAGGAGCTGGGCATGTTTAGCCTGAAGAAGAGAAGGCTGAGAGGAGACATGATAGCCATGTATGAGAGGAAGTCACAGGGAGGAGGGAGCAAGCTTGTTTTCTGTTGCCCTGGAGACTAGGACACGAAACAATGGCTTCAAACTACAAGAAAGGAGATTCCACCTGAACATGAGGAAGAACTTCCTGAGCCGTTCAGCAGTGGAACTCTCTGGCCTGGAGTGTGTTGGGGGCTCCTTCTTTGGAGGCTTTTAAACAGAGGCTGGATGGCCATCTGTCAGGGGTGATTTGAATGCAATATTCCTGCTTCTTGGCAGAATGGGGTTGGACTGGATGGCCCATGAGGTCTCTTCCAACTCTTTGATTCTATGATTTTATGAAAAGAATCAGAAAGGGTTAAGGGAGAGGCAGTGGGTGGGGTCATGCAAATTGCACACCAATGGAGAGAATAAGAAACACTGGGATGCCTGTGGTGGAACAAAAAAACAAAAAGACGAAAATACATAGGCAAATAGACTGTAATCATTATCCTAAAGCTTCTGTAATAGTTAACTAGAATAAATTAAAACATAATCAAACTTGATTAAATAATAAGTTTGGTAAAATGGGATTAAATTTAGAGAATTTAGAGAAGTTCATCGCCAGAACAAGATAAAGAGATCGATCTCTCAGGTGGGCGGCTTTTATGATAAGTTTGGCTATGCAGCAGACTAAGCGTAGATTCTCCCCAGAAAGAAAATAGGACAGTTTGAGTAGTTAATGAGTACTTAATGACTCCAGCTCTGAAAAGCCCGCTTTACGCGCTGGTTTCCAAGCTGTCAGTCACTGGAGGGGAAAGTTTACACCTGTCTCTGGGAATAGAGCTGTTAATGAGGAAAATCTATTGCTGTCTTCGAGATGGAGAGGAGCGGCAACTTTTCTCTTGAGTGAGTCAATAACTAGAAAGCATGAGAGAGTAACACGACTTGAGGATCAGTTTTGAACTGGGAAGAGTCTGGGTCATTTGGCCATCGGACCGAGGAGCCATAACTTCGGCATGGCACATCCGTTCCCTCTGGGATTTGGGTTAACTCAGTAACAAAAAGACACGTGAAAGGGATCTATAAGTCATAGTAGACTCCAAGCAGAATGTGAGCCAAGTGTGTGACGCAGCAGCTAAAAGAGCCAATGCGATTCTAGGCAGGATCAAAAGGAGTATAGATGGACAAGTTGGAAGATGTCCAAAGATGGGAAACTACGAATCCCTATGAAGAGTAGCTTAGGGAGTTAGGAATGTTTAGCTTGAGAAAAGAAGGTTGAGAGGGGATATCATCATCAACATCATCATCATTGAATTAAAAAGTCAATGACAGATCCCAAATGTAGACTCTGCAAGGAAGCAGAATTTTTTTTGTTATGTCAGGAGCGACTTGAGAAACTGCAAGTCACTTCTGATGTGAGAGAATTGGCTGTCTGCAAGAACGTTGCCCAGGGGATGCCTGGATGTTTTTGATGTTTTATCATCCTTGTGGGAGGCTTCTCTCATGTCCCCGCATGAGGAGCTGGAGCTGATAGAGGGAGCTCACCTGCCCTCTCCCCAAATTTGAACCTGTGACCTGTTGGTCTTCCGGTACAGGGGTTTAACCCACTGCACCACTGGGGGCTCCAAGGAAGCAGATGAAACAATAGATCACATCCTCAGCTGCTGCAAGAAAATCGCACAGACAGACTACAAGCAGAGGCATAACACCATTGCTCAGATGAGCCATTCGGACCTGCGACCTGTTGATCTTCAGTCCTACCGGTACAGGGGTTTAACCCACTGCACCACTGGGGGCTCGAAGGAAGCAGATGAAACAATAGATCACATCCTCAGCTGCTGCAAAAAGATTGCGCAGGCAGACTACAAGCAGAGGCACAACACCGTTGCTCAGATGATCCATTCGAACCTGCGACCTGTTGATCTTCAGTCTTACCGGCACAGGGGTTTAACCCACTGCACCACCGGGGGCTCCAAGGAAGCAGATGAAACAATAGATCCCATCCTCAGCTGCTGCAAGAAGATTGCGCAGACAGACTACAAGCAGAGGCATAACACCGTTGCTCAGATGATTCATTGGAACTTGTGCCACAAACACCATCTGCCTGTGACAAACAACTGGTGGGATCACAAGCCGGAAAAAGTTACAGAAAATGAATGCATCAAACTCCTCTGGGACTTCTGAATTTAGACAGACAGAGTTTTGGTGCACAATACTCCTGACCTCATGATCATGTTAAAAAGCAAAGTATGGATCGTCGATGTTGCAATCCCAGGTGACACCAGGATTGAAGAGAAACAACTTGAAAAGCTGACACGATATGAGAATTTAAAGATCAAACTGCAAAGACTCTGGCACAAGCCAGTAAAGGTGGTCCCAGTGGTGATGGGCACACTGGTTGCAGTGCCTAAAGACCTTAAACACAATCCTTGCTGACAAAATTACCATCTGCCAGCTGGAGAAGGCCACCTTACTGAGATCTGCACGCATTATTCGCCAATACATCACACAGTCCTAGACACTTGGGAAGTGTCCGACGTGTGATCCAATACAACAGCCAGCAGAGTGTCTGCTGTGGACTCATCTTGTTGTGTTTCAAATAATAATAATAATAATAATAATAATAATAATAATAATAATAATCACCACCTTATTTTTCTACCCCACCTCCATCTCCCTGAAGGAACTCGGGCGGCTTACATGGGGCCATGCCCAGACAACATACAGTTAAAAACAGACAGCAAAATATAAAACAGCATAAAAACAACATCATCACAAACAATAAAAGCAAGTATCATAAGCAACAACATAGGTATCTCGAATCTCATTTTTGGGGGGAGATGATCAATATGTTCGATATGATGGCCATGTTTATATATTTGAGAGGATGCCACATTGAGGACAGAGATAAGCTTGTTTTCTGTTGCTCCAGAGACAATAGAGTCAATAATTCAAATTACAGGAAAAGAGATTCCGCCTAAACATTAGGAAGAATTGAGAGCTGTCCAACAATGAAATATGCAGCCTTGGAGTCTCCTTCTCTGGAGGTTTTTCCAATGAAGGCTAGATGGCCATCTGTCGGGAGAGCTTTGGTTGTGTATTCCTGCACTTTTGCAGTTAGTAAATCCAAACACCTATGTTCTTAGTAAAGTGAAAACATTTTATGGAGAAAAGGAACTCAATCCTGTAGATGTCTTGGCAGAAGTGATGCCGTGAAATACGTGTCATTGCTCCTGTCCCTTTAATTGCTCCATAGAAGGTGAGATGTTGCTGCTAAAAGGACAGAAGGTCCATCTTTCCTTTTACTTGGAGAAGGAGTTTGGTGGAGTTGTTTCCCATTTTTCCTGCATCCAGAATGGAGCTGACAGAGTGGAGTGGTCCTTGCGGTCTCTTCCAGCTCTGTGAATCGAAGATCCCCTCTTTTTGGTTCCTTGGTCGGAAATAATCCCCTTCCATATATTTTGTCTTATAGTCGGAGGACTCAGTCCCAAGGGCAATGTGAGTGGCGTGGAGTATTACAATCCCCTGGACCACGAATGGAGAGTTCTGGGACCCGTCTCCAAGCATCGGAGCGGCGTTGGGGTGGCTTCCTTGCATGGCTCCATCTATGCAGTTGGCGGCCACGATGGAGTGGTGTGTCTCAGCACTGTTGAAAGGTAAGTCCAGAAGGAATGCACCTACATTGTCAAATTAGTGCAGTTTGGTCCTACTTTAACCGCTATTATAGTGGTTAATTTGGACTGTGGATAACAGCATCCATGCCCGGTAAGTGTATGCTAAACCAAATAGGCCAGGACAGAGAAACCAATTCACTAAGTTGAAGACAAGTCACAGAGGTTTATTATGATTCAGCCAAAAAGGATGCAAGTATGAGAAATACAAGACATCTTATAGTACAGCAATTTGCTTCAAAATGTAGAAGTATAAACATACAGAGAAATACAAGACATTTTATACAACTACAAGCTGTACCCATCATGTGTTGTTGTGGCCAATCTTCCTCTTTCTCTCTCTCTCTCTCTCCTTCCTTCCTTCTCTACCTCTTTCCTTCCTTTCCCTCCCTTTTTCTTTCTCTCCTTTCTTCCTTCTCTACCTATTCTTGGACTGTAACTCCCAGCAGTCCTCCTGGTTGATCTATCTACCTACTATCTATCTCTATCTAATGTATATATCTTATCTATCCGGAGGATTGCTGGAAGTGCAGTCCAGAAATAGGAAATATGTACAGATTGGGATGCTCTCAAAGAAATTCAAGGAGAAGCAAGCTTGCAGCTTGGAAGCTGTACATTTGGAGCATCCTCCTCCCCTAAAGGGCCTGGTCTAGGGAATGTTGGGAGCTGTCATTTTCACGCATGCGCTGTATCACCATTTAGCTTTTTTGGGGTTTAAGTCCTTTCTGCTGTTTTTTGGGAGGGGTTTATGAGTGATGGTCACTCGTTGGTCTGTTAGGGGTGTAGTGTCCAAATTTTGTGTCAATTCATCCAGTGGTTTTTGAATTCTATTAATCCCACAAATGAACATTACATTTTTATTTATATAGATTCAGACTTCCTGCTCCCTCCCCTGATTAGCGGAAAAAGAGGCTGGCTAGAATCTGTGCTGGGATTGGCTGGGAGGTAGAATGGTAGCTAAGGATTGGTCAGTGTGAAGGACCAATCCGTTGCAGAGACGCCCCTTGGAAGGACACAGTCCGGGGAAAACAAATGGTAAAGATACGTTGATGAGCTTTTAATGTGCTCAAATGTTCAGTTCAGTGCCAAACAAAGATATGGCCAAACAAAGAGACCTCACAACCTCTGAGGATGCTTGCCATAGATGCAGGCAAAACGTCAGGAGAGAATGCCTCTAGAACATGGCCATATAGCCTGAAAAAACCTACAACAACCCAAAGATATGGATTTTAAGAAACAGAGGTGCAAGATTCAAGGGACAAAGGTGTTGATTCTGCGTAATCAAGGGCTTGACTGTCAATAAAAGAGTTAACGAATGCACATATTCTAAGTTTCCATTTCCATGAAGAAGTAACAGACTCTCAGCTTCGTGTGACTTGTATCAACATTTGGGGCTTATCTATCTGGCAAAGTAGGGTGCTCATCACACTAGAGAATGGATCCACTTTAAATCCGGTTTCTGCTTCCTGCAGAATTCTGGGATTTGTAGTTTAACAGCCTTACTAAACTACAAACCCCACAATTCTGCAGGAAGCAGAAACCGGATTGAAAGTGGATTCATTCTCTAGTGTGATAAAGTAGTAAGTCACCTATCTTTGCATACACACCATGAATCTGATGATTATCTAGCTTGGGAAGTAGCCAGAGGGATTTGCCCAATCTTTTCCATTCCCAGGAGAATGGTGGGGGGTCACTGTTGCTCAATAACTCTATGGGATCCTGGCCGTTGGAGATTTACAAGATCTCGAGCCTTCTCTATTAAAGAAGACTAAATGAAGACACGGGCACAAATCACAGAAACTTGGTTGAGTTGTGTGACAACAGTACAATCGCCGTGACAGTAAATAGATTCCAATCATGTGAAAGAGGCCTTTGGGAACCCCCGTTTTTATCCCCCGTGGAAGCGCTGAGTTCTTAGAATTTGACAGATCCGAAGCATCCCCCTTCGGCTCCTCAATCAGAAACCCGAGAAGAGGCTTGAAGGAGTTGATGAAGGATTGCCAAACCTGGCAGGAGGATCTGCAGAGGCTTGAGTTTCCTGAAGCAGACTGAAATATCTAGTCCAGGAAGGGGCCCAGATGGCTTTGGCTTGTGCAATGATCCCACTTAAGAGTATTTTTTATTGCCTTTTTAAAAATAAAGCCAATAAGGTGCTGGATTTAGACTTGCGTCGATAACCTTGGGCTTCAAACCTACTGGACAAACTACTCTGTGGGTGCCTCTACACTGATGAATTAATGCAGTTTGACACCACTTAGAATCATAGAATCAAAGAGTTGGAAGAGACCTCATGGGCCATCCAGTCCAACCCCCTGCCAAGAAGCAGGAATATTGCATTCAAATCACCCCTGACAAATGGCCATTCAGCCTCTGCTTAAAAGCTTCCAAAGAAGGAGCCTCCACCACACTCTGGGGCAGAGAGTCCCACTTGAACTGCCATAGCTCAATGCTATAGAATCTTAAGAGATGTAGTTTGATGAGGCATCAGCACTCGTTGGCAGAGAAGGCTAAAAAGCTTGTAAAATTGCAGCTCCCATGATTCCATAGCATTGTATTTTGTTATAGGTATTTTAACGGGGACGTGTTTTACCTCTCTGCTTTAACCAAAACCTGCAAGGAGAGGTGGATAATAAAACTATCATTATCATTATTATTGTCATAGTTGGTCTGTTTGTTTGCTTGTTTGTTTGGTTGCATACTGCAAGGCGCTCTTGGTGCGAGAAAATCGGTCGTCTACAAAGATGTTGCCCAGAGAACACCCGGATGTGTTGCCATCCTGTGGGGAGGATTCTCTCATATCCCCCTTTTATCAAATGACCAACCATGGCCAGAAAGGGATCTGAGTTTCATCTATGCTGACAATTGTGCCATCACCGCTCAAGTAGGGAGCTTTGAAATTGAACAGAAGCTCTCCAAAGCTCAATAATAATAATAATAATAATAATAATAATAATAATAATAATAATAATAATCTTTATTTATACCCCACCACCATCTCCCTGATGGGGACTCAGGGCGGCTTACATGAGGCCAAGCCCAACAACGCAATACAATAAATGAAGTCAAAACACACTTGTGACGGCGCGTCAGGCCCCACTTGTATGTGAATGTACAGTTGAATTGTTTGGCTATCTATTGCTTTCTATCAATGTTGTTTGCATCTGTTGAATTGCCTCCCCTGCTTAATTGTTTGGCTCCTCCCCTTCCTGGGGAAGAGAGCAGGGCTTTCTTTTCGTTCTACCATCAAACATCTCAGCAGATGGACGTGAGAAAGGCTTAGCTCCAAAAGCCCTCAGTTAAGTCATCTTTCTTCACCAATTCTTAAGTTTGTACTCTTAAGATTCATTCTTCTTATCCAACTGGACAACGTTGCGTAATCTTAAGTGCCTTCAAACCAGTCCCTTGGCATCAAGAGGAAGACTTTGTGCCTTCAAATATAGGTCATTGGACTGGGGTTGTGAATGCTCAGGCATTCACAGCCATTGAGAAAGGGGGAACTTGGAAAGCTTCTCAGCTGCAAAACTCCTTGGACCCAAGACTCCAAAGACTGTAACGTATGTTTTATTTACCCCATTTGAATATCAAGTTTATGCCTATGGAAGATAACTCATTGTGAACAATAAAGACTATTTTGAGTTATTTATAGTGTCTTGGTCCTTGGAAGTTCCAGTTCTCTAAAGGAGGGCAAGAAGCAATCCCCTGGGGAGAGGTGTCACGTCCATGTTTCTTTCACCTATAGACCCCAGGCGCGATGTCATCTATAGTCACGCCTGGGGTCATCTATAGACCCCAGTCGCTCCTGGGGTCATCTATAGACCCCAGGCGCGATGGCACAACACTCTAGGTGCTCTTACTGCCTATTACAGGAGAAACCAGCTGATTCCTAATCCATCTAAAACACAGATATATATTTTTCGTCTTAAGAACAGATAAGCATCTCGAGCTCTGAAGATGACCTGGGAAGATATCTCACTAGAGCATTGCAGCCTACCAAAATACTTTGGAGTTACCCTGGACCATGCTCTGACTTACAAGAAGCACTGCCTGACTATCAAGCAAAAAGTGGTGCTAGAAATAATATCATGCGAAAGCTGACTGGCACAACCTGGGGATCACAATCAGACACAGTGAAGGCCTTTGCGCTTTGCTACTCTGCTGCTGAATACGAATGCGCAGTGTGGAATGCATCTCACCACATTAAACCAGTAGATATGGCTCTTAATGAGACATGCTGCATTATCACAGGATGTCTACGCCCTACACAACTGGAGAAATTATACTGTTTAGCCAGTATTGCACCACCTGACATCCGCCGGGAAGTAGCAGCCAGTAATGAAAGGACCAAGGCATTGACATCTCGGGCTCATCCTCTGTTTGGATATTGGCCAGCACAGCAAAAATCTTAAAGGGAAAATACATGTTTTGGATCCCAGTAGTGAGGAAGAAACATATCCTCAGAGGCACTCTGGTCATGACTCTGTTCTATGACCCTAGAATCTTGGGTTCAAATTCCCACTTGGTCATAAAAATGCCCAGCCTCAGAAAACCCCATGATAAGTTCACCTTAGGGTTGCCATAAATGAGAAATAATAGCCGTAATAAATATTTCAAGTACATGAATAAATACAGAATCTCTCCCTCCTCTTGGCTCTATCCAAGTTCCCCTCCTTGGAGGGTGAAACATTTCACCCATCCAGTTGCATAATGAACGTCGTCTATGCCTTGCCTTCCCTGGGTCTCTTTAGCAGGCATGAAGCTATCTTCTTCCCCTCTGACGAATCGCTTTGACAGCCCACTTACGGCTGTATATTCTCGTTAAAGACAAACTCAGTGTCTCCCCAGCACATTCCTTGAGGATTGCAATGCCAGAGGCTTGAAATCCTTTGGCTAAATATATAGGCTTAATACAGGGACTGAGTGTATGTGTCAGAGATACATCATGCTGTATTTCAGGCTTTACCTTGGCACCAGGGGCAAGCTCTTGACTACCTCACTAATATATTTTTGCTTGTCGACCTAGTCCGTGATGTCAGCTTGAGCTGCTCCATATGTGTGTGTGTGTGCGTGTGAATACATATATATACATATTCACACACTGGCTTAGGTTGACCTGGTTTGCATTGTGTAATGGTATTTATTAGTGAAAATAGTGGTTAGTGTTATGTTTGTAGGGATGATTCTATCACAAGACTTAAACACAAAGCAGTGCTTCCTCTATCCCTCAGGTAGTGAGCACACCTGACTGATTTACTCTCCATGGCAATCCTCAAATGGTCTCTTGGGGGTCATAGCTGGCTCTTTCCCATTGCCTTCTACTGACCTCTTGGGGCAGCGTTTCTCAACCTGGGGTCGGGACCCCTGGGGGGTCGTGAGGGGGTGTCAGAGGGGTCACCAAAGACTCATCAGAAAGGTGGAAGGTGAACTACATCTCCCCTAAATCACTGTCAATTCATCCCAAATCCCTCTGGTACATTCTGTTGGTCATGGGGGTTCTGTATTGAAAGTTTGGACCAATTCTATCGTTGGTGGGGTTCAAGAGACTATTTGATTGTAGGTGAACTATAAATCTCAGCAACTACAACTCCCAAATACAAAGCTTTAATTTCCCCGAACTCCACCAGTGTTCACATTTGGGCATATTGAGTATTCGTGCGAAGTTTGGTCCAGATCTATTATTGTTTGAGTCCACAGTGCTCTCTGGATGTAGGCGAACTACAACTCCAAAATTCAAGGTCAATGCCCACCAAACCCTTCCAATATTTTCTGTTGGGCATGGGAGTTCTGTGTGCCAAATTTGGTTTAATTCCATTCCTGGTGGAGTTCAGAATGCTCTTTGATTGTAGGTGAACTATAAATCCCACGAACTACAACTCCCAAATGACAAAATCAATCCCCCCACCCCACTCCACCAGTTTGCAAATGTGGGCGTATCGGGTATTTATGCCAAATTTGATCCACTGAATTAAAATACATCTTACATATCAGTTATTTACATGATGATTCCTAACGGTAACAAAATTGCAGTTATGAAGTAGCAATGAAAATAATGTCATGGTTGGGCGTCTGCACAACATATAGAACTGTATTAAGGGGTTGCGGCATCAGAAAGGTTGAGAACCACTGTCTTGGGGTGACAACTGGCTCTTTCCAGCAACCCTCTATTGACCTCTTGAGATACTAGCGGGCTTTTCCTGTGAACCTTTCGTGACCTCTTGGAGGAACCTCTGGCTCTTTCCCACAACCCTTTGGTGACCTCTTGGGTAACAGCTGACTCTTTCCCACAACCCTCTTTTTAATGGCTGAGTCATCTGACTGGATTGGAGGGGAGCTGAACCTATACTCATGGTTGGGAATCATGCAGCTCTCTGGATGTGGATGGACTACAGCTCCCAATGTATTCTACCATGGGAATTACCATGTGAGGGCCATCTTCGAAAATATATACATATAAACATAGTTACATACATGCACATGTTATTTATTTATTATTATTTATTTAAAAGTTTTGTATACCGGCCTTCTCACCTCTCTTGAGGGACACAGACCAGTTTCCAACCATAATATCACATAAATCAATAAAACATCATAATACATATTACAGTAAAACATTAAAACAGCAATTACAATCAATAACTATAATGGTCAGTCGTCACACTAAAATAGTTGTTCATCATCCTCCATCCATATCTCAGGGTGTTGGCTCACTCGTCAAATGCCTGTCTCCATAACCAAGTCTTCACCTGTTTCCTAAATGTCAGGATAGACGGGGCGGTTCTGATCGCCAATGGGAGAGAGTTCCAGAGTCGAGGGGCCACCACTGAGAAGGCCCTGTCCCTCATCCCCACCAGACGCGCTTGCGAGGCTGGTGGGACTGAGAGCAGGGCCTCTCCAGACGATCTTAATAATCTTGATGGTTCATAGGGGAAAATACGTTCGGAGAGGTAAACAAGGCAAATGTTGACTTTTATTATATAGATAGATAGAGATGTGTCAAAGTATTTATACATGTATGTTGGTTGGGTTCACTGTAATCATTAAAAAAATCAGATGCAGAAGAAAATGAACTGATGCATCTTCCTTTTCCTTCCTCCATTGCTGTAGATATGAGCCCGAAAACAATGAATGGAAGAAGGACGTGGCCCCATTGAGTGAACCCAAGCAAGATGTAGCCGTGGCAGAGTTGGGGGGCTACCTGTACTGCGTTGGGGGCTATGATGGCCTGCTTTGTGTAGACACTGTGGAAAGGTAAGCCTATTGGTGCCTGTGAGCATTGAATTCCATGTGTGATGGTGGAGCCTATGATTTCCATTGGATCACGGAAGCTAAGCAGGGTCAACCCAGGCTAGTGCTTAGATGGGGGACCATCGATGAATCCCTGGTGCTGGAGGCTCTCTTTCAGAAGAAAGGACTGGAGAAAACACCTCCCAGGATTCTTGACCTAAGAAAACCCAAAATGCATGTGGTTGCCATAAATTCATAGATAACTGGAAGATCTATATAGTCACCAATTCCCCATTTTCCTTACAACTTGGATCCTCTGCTTTCAGCATCTGCATGCTTTCTCACAGTGCTGTTGTTTGTCTCCAGATATGACCCGCTGCTCAATCAATGGCGCAAAGTGGCACCCATGAACCGCCGCCGGAGGGGTCTGGGCTTGGCAGTGTTGGATGGGTACCTCTATGCTGTCGGTGGGTCTGATGGCCAGGCACCTTTGTATTCAGGTAACGGCCAGGTCCAGTTTCAGTTGTCGACATCACATGATCTTGAAAGTTCAAGGAAAAATATATCTCTATTTGATATATAATGAAAGGCTAGGTTGCTCTCCTTTCTTAAAACTGGTTTTCCAAGCCAAAATGCCATTTCATTGATCAAACATCCCAGTTCTTTTTCTCAGGTTTATCTATCATAAAAGGGTCTGTTTCCAAGATCTTGGTATAAGTCATATATGGATTCCTCAGTTCTTTGATTCCCTACACAAATGGTTGGATAAATGGTCTGCTCCTAAATCATATGTGTTACTCCATAGCCCATAATACAACAGAAGCATGAATATTGCATTCAAAGCACCCCCGACAGATGGCCATCCAGCCTCTGCTTAAAAGCTTCCAAAGAAGGAGCCTCCACCACACTCCGGGGCAGAGAGTTCCACTGCTGAACGACTCTCACAGTCAGGAAGTTCTTCCTAATGTTCAGGTGGAATCTCCTTTCTTGTCGTTTGAAGCCATTGCTCCATTGCGTCCTAGTCTCCAGGGCAGCAGAAAACAAGCTTGCTCCCTCCTCCTTTGTGACTTCCTCTCACATATTTATACATGGCTATCATGTCTCCTCTCAGCTTTCTCTTCTTCAGGCTAAACATGCCCAGCTCCTTAAGCCGCTCCTCATAGGGTTTGTTTTCCAGACCCTTGATCCTTTTAGTCGCCCACTTCTGGACACATTCAAACTTGTCAACATCTCCCTTCAATTATGGTGCCCAGAATTGGACACAATATTCCAGGTGTGGTCTAACCAAGGCAGAATAGAGCATGGGGAGCATGACTTCCCTGGACCGAGACACTAGACTCCTATTGATACAGGCCAAAATCCCATTGGCTTTTTTTGCTGCCGCATCACATTGTTGGCTCATGTTTAACTTGTTGTTCACAAAGACCCCAAGATCTTTTTCACACATACTGCTCTCGAGCCACGTGTCCACCATTCTGTATCTTTGCATTTCATTTTTTCCCACCTAAGTTGTATGTCTCATGTTGACATTTATGGCATGACTTCTAAGGAGTCATGACATGGATAAAGAGAGCAAGGGCCCATTCTGTTCTGACTTTCTCACCCATCCCAGTGGAGCGTTACAACCCCATGGAAGACAGATGGACCCCATGTCCTCCGCTGCGAACTTGCCGGGAGAACCTGGGATGTGTAGCATTCCAAGGACAGATCTATGCTGTGGGTGGGCGAGATGACCTCACGGAACTATGCAGCGCCGAACGATATGATCCTCTGGCCAACGAATGGTCTCCTGCGCCAGCCATGAGGTCGAAAAGGAGCAAGGTAGGGTTTCTGACGAGTGTTACCTGTTGTGTGCTATGGCCCAGTCTGGTTAAATGGAGAAGAATGTGAAGTATTTTTTTGGAGATTTAAGGTTTTGAGCAAGCAAACATATGTCTATATAATAATAATAATAATAATAATAATAATAATAATAATAATTTGCCGATACATCACACAGTCCTAAACACTTGGGAAGTGTCTGACGTGTGATCCAATGCAACAGCCAGCAGAGTGTCTGCTGTGGACTCATCTTGTTGTGTTTCAAATAATAATAATAATAATAATAATAATAATAATAATAATAATAATAATCCTGGTCTATATAATAATAATATTAATAGTAATAGTGGTGTAAATAATAATAATAATGGCCTATATAATAATCTATGTATAAAATAAAAGTCAGTGTTTGTATGCGGAGGATGGTGTATGTGGCAGTTTTCTGATTGGCTGCCAATTTCACAGGTCACTGTGACCAGCACGGGTGACGGACCTGGACCAAACTTGACACACATAACCCCCATGACCCCCTTTACATCCTGGGGGGGGGTTTAGGGGAGGACAAAGGATGATGGGATTTGTAGTACTTTCAAACCCATCGGTTCCCACAGACAATTGCCATCCCCAACAAAGACCAATAAAGACCAAACTTGGCACACAGAGCCCCCATGGTCCATTCTACATCCTACTGCTGTTTGGAGGAGGGTGGGCCATGGATGATGGGACTTGCAGTACATCCACTCACTTCCCGAGACCACTGCAACCCTCATGCAATGACTGATCAAGACCAAACTTGGCACACAGAGCCCCCATGGCCTGCTCTACATCCTGGTGCAGTTTCAAGGAGGATGGACCATGGAAGATGGGACTTCAAGTACCTCCACTCACTTCCTGAGACCACTGTGAGCCACTGAAGTAACTGATAAAGACCAACCTTGGCACACAATTCCTTTCTCAAATAACCCGGGCAGCGCCGGGTCCCCAAGCTAGTATAATATAATAATAAGGAGCCCCCAGTGGCACAGTGGATTAAACCGCTGAGCTGCTGAACTTGCTGATCGAAAGGTCGCAGGTTCAAATCAGCTGTTGGCCCCAGCTTCTGCAAACCTAGCAGTTCGAAAACATGCAAATGTGAGTAGATCAATAGGTACCGCTCCAACGGGAAGGTAACAGTGCTCCATGCAGTCATGTCAGCCACATGACCTTGGAGGTCTCTATGGACAACACCGGCTCTTCAGCTTAGAAATAGAGATGGGCACCAACCCCCAGAGTCAGACACGACTGGATTTAATGTCAGGGAAAAACCTTTACCTTTACCTTTACTATATAATAATAATAATAATAATAATAATTATTATTATTATTATTATTATTATTATTATTATACTGGTGTATATAATAATGATAATAATAGGAATGATACTGGTCTTTACAATAATGATCAGTGTGTTTTGGGAAAATCCTTTCCTTTCCTTCCTTCCGATCTATCTATCTCTCCCTTCCTACCATTCAATCCTGTCTTCCTTCTGAGCCTCCAGTCTTCCTGGAGGTGCGTGCGTGAGGCTGTGCCGAGCAAGGCCAAGCAGGGCATGAGGCTACAAGAGCCTGGGGCTCGGTTAGGCCTACCTCATTGCCTGCCTTCTTCCCTCCCGCTTCTCTCCCAAGCCTGGATTTTCCTACCTGTCCTGCCACCCTTTTCCTGCTCTTCTTTTCCCAGTTCTGCTCTGGAGGGAGGCAATCAGGCAGGCTCAGAGGGTGGCAACCAGACCATGGATCCCAAATAGCAGCTCTGACCCTGACGGGGGTCACTTTGCAATATGTTGCTTGGACGTCCAGCAGATGGCACTGTTTTTGATGCAAAGCATACTTTTACCTATCACAGGTGTGACATCTATATAACAGTAGGAATTTGAAAACATGAAAACATTTGAGTGTTCTAATGTTACGTTGTGTCCAAATTTTGAAGCAATCGGTGAAGTATTTTGGGAGATTTGAGGTCATTCACAAAACTGACATTTACATTTTTATTTATATAGATTATCATCATCACTATTTTACAGGTTGGCCTGGCTGTTGCAAACGGCTACCTCCTAGCCATCGGGGGCTATGATGGCATTGTCCATGTGACCACCGTGGAAGCCTTTGACTGGGAAATGAATAAATGGAGGTGAGTTATCAAATCCTTTCTTTAACATCTCTTTCAAAGTTCTGAAAGTAGCAATATTCACAAGCTGAGCATCAGAAATAGATAGAATAACACTATGTAACAAAAATTGAAAAAAATCTGTTTCTGGTTTGAAAGTGTTATTTCCTGCTTAATTGTGTGGTCCTTACTTTGAAAGGAATTTTTCTGCTCTCAAAACTTCGTTTTTGTGGCTGCCACAAACTAGGTTGAATTAGTTGAGACTCAATGATGAGATATTCATTGAAAATTTGGAGTAAAATTTGCTGCTGCAGGATGTCCTGTACAAACAATGTTTTTGCAGTTGAATAAACTTTCCCCATGTTTTCATGATAGAACCAACTAGGTGTTATGAATAACTTTTCAATAATTTTCCAGTAAGAGAAACGGTATCAGAACTTTTACACTTACACAAAGAACGACATTGGACATACAGACCTACAGATTCTATGTAACTACACTGAATCCACAAACAACCTACAGTTACGTGGATGAGCTCCCTCTGTCAGCTCCAGCTTCCCATATGGGGACATGAGAGAAGCCTCCCATATGGATGGGAAAACATCAAAACATCCGGGTGTCCCCTGGGCAATGACCTTGCAGATGGCCAATTCTCTCACACCAGAAGCAACTTGCAGTTTCTCAAGTCACTCCTGACATGGAAAAATAAATTGTTACTCAACATTCACATTACCCATCCTCATGCATCCAGATATTATCATATCCTTTCTCCCTCTTTGGAGAAGCACCTGCTTAGTCCAGACCCTGCACATTTCCAATACTTCCAAAACTTCTAAAATGCCAAAATGTGTTTTCTTTCCCTAAGAACAATGCCAAGAATCAGATCTCTGTTTTCCCTACAGCAGAAATGGACTCCCTGCAAACCTATCATAACTCCAAAATCGCACACCTTTCTCTTCCCTTGAGAAAAGGAGCAAGTGACCAGACTGCGTTCCTATAGCAGATCTGCCACTCGTAAGAGTACACAATCTCTCTCCTTCCCAAGGAGAAGAGCAGCAGGTGGGCCAGACTCCTCTGGTCTGCCACAATTTTTGAATTGTAATAAGGTCTCTTACATCGCAACATTTCTTGATGATGTTCCAAAGTTGTAAATGAATGATAGATGTTTTTCCAGCCTGAAACATCCTAGCACCATCTCCAGGCAGATGTTGACTCTTTTTAATTGTTGTTGGTAAACATAAGGAGACTTGTGTTGACTTTCTTCTTAATATAAGAAACCTTGTAAACACTTCCTTAACTTAAAGAGCCATTGTCTCTGTTAACGTAAACATGTTTTTCACCAAAAGTTCATCAAGTCAGCAATGTCAACAGTTAATCATTCTATAGAATCATAGAATATTGAGTTGGAAGAGATCTTGTGGGCCACCCAGTCCATCCCTTACTAGGAAACTGGAAAATTGCATTCAAAGCACCCCTGATAGATGGCCATCCGGCCTTTGCTTAAAAGCTTCCGAAGGAGTCCGCATCATACTCTTTGGCAGAGAGTTCCACTGCTGAACAGCTCTCACAGTTAGGAAGTTCTTCCTAATGTTCAGGTGGAATCTCCTTTCCTGCAGTTTGAAGCCATTGTTCTGTGTCTTAGTCTCCAGGGCAGCAGAAAAGAAGCTTGCTATGTCGCAGTTCTCATAAGCAACTTTTAATTACAGTCCATGAATTCTTCACTTCCTTCTTGTAGTTTTCCAGGCCTCATCTTAGGATAGTATCTCTAGACTTACTTACTTAGGCGATCCCTCATAGTCCAAGGATGATGGTCCTCCAAGTGTAGTGTCCTGGTGGTGGGTCCGTAGGTGACTGTGGAGCTCTATTCTTGATCTGCATCTTCTCCCACAGTGAGGGCATCGGATCAGGTGGATGACGCGCCTTCCTCTTGGCACATTTCTCTCTTTCGCCCTTCATTCATGCCTCTTCAAATTCTACAGCACTGCTGGTCACAACTGACCTCCAACTGGAGCACTCTAGGGCCAGGGCTTCCCAGTTCTCCATGTCTATGCCCACTTTTTAAGGCTGACTTTGAGCTCTAGACTACATAGACCCCCAACCATACAACTTTCATACCATTCCTTTCAACCTATACATCATATTTCATGACATCTTAAATGACATTTATAACCCAGGAACAAAAATCATGTTCATAGTGTAACAGAATCCTAGAATTAGAAGAGACCCCAAGAGCCATCCAGTCGAACTCCCTTTTGTCAAGACACCACCTGATCCCTCCTGACAGATGGCCATCTAGCCTCTGCTCCAAAGCTTCCAGAGAAGAATACTCCACCAGACTCCGATGGTATTGAATGGTGATAACCCTTCTCATTCTTTCTTGCAGGCGTTTTGGCAACATGCAAACTTGTCATCCTGGTGGAGGCGTCACTGCGGTCAAAATGTCCCCTTCCGATCTGGATTTTTACGATTCTCCTTGGAGCAGATAGAAAAAAATCCATTGTCTCCAATTTGTTTGAGTTGATTTATGCAGTTAGGATTTCTCCAGTTGCAGGAAGAAAAGGGGAAAGTTGAAGATGTTCGGAAGTGTGGGAGCTGAAGTCCAAAACACCTGGTGGGCCCAAGTTTGCCCATGCCTGATCTACACTATCGAATTAATGCAGTTCAATACAACTTTAAGTGTCATGGATTTGTGGGAGTAGGATAAAAGGATATATTTGATAGATGTTGTTATTATATTATGTATTTTCACTGTGCAGCTGGAATCAGTATGTTTCTACCAAATTCGATTCCAACTCTATCCAGAATCACTTCTCTGACTCCACAGACCTAGTTCGGAGCAACGATTAAGTTTATGCCCAAACTCTTCCTTACTTTTAAAGGAAAATATAAAAACTCTTGTGGGTTTTCAGCACTAAGAGCTCCTTTTTTGCATATTAGGTAGACTCTATGAATATATACTATGTAATAATGAGATGATGACTCTTCTTTTCTATAAATGCCTTTGGGCTAGAAAGTGAGAAGTCTATTTCAAACTAATGGCTGAAGATCGGTAGAGTAGCATGGAACTTTGTTGATTAGTTTTAATTGACATTAGATTTTGTTTGGCTTGATTATTATATTTTAATAAATGTTTATTAATAAAGGCATAATCCAATTTATGGGCTGGTGTCGTTATCTCAAACCGCTAGTGAGAAATAGGCACTAAGAGAGCCAGTGGAGCGGCTGCAACATGGGAGGATCTCTGGACCAGTTGAAGCTTCTGAACTATCTTCAAGGGCAGCCCATGTAGAGAGCATTGCAGTAATCCAAACGGGATGTGACTAAGGCATGGCCAGATCTGGCATCTCAAGGTATGTTTTAGCTGTGTAAAGGCACTCCTCGCCAATGCTGACATTTGAGGCTCCAGGTCAGCGATGAATCCAGGATCACCCCCAAGTTGCAAACTTGTGTCTTCAGGGGAAATGTGACCCCATCCAACAGGCTGTAACCTCACACTCTGATCTGCGTTCCAACTGACCAGGAGTACCTTTGTATTGTCTGTTCTGTCCCTGTTCTATGCTGGCCACTCTCTTCTTAGGTCAGTGGTTCTCAACCTTCCTAATGCCACGATCCCTTAATACAATTCCTTATGTTGAGGTGCCCCCCAACCATAACATTATTTTTGGTGCTACTTCACAATTGTAATTTGCTACTGTTAGGAATCGTCATGTAAATATCCGATTCACTGGACCAAATTTGGCACAAATACCCAATACGCCAAAGTTTGAATACTGGTGGGGTAGGAAGAGATTTTGTCATTTGGGAGTTGTAGTTGCTGTCATTTATCGTTCACCTGCAATCAAAGAGCATTCTGAACTCTACCAATGATGGAATTGACCCAAACTTGGTGCACAGAACTCTCATGACCAACAGAAAATACTGGAAGGGTTTGGTAGGCACTGACCTTGGGTTTGAGAGTTGTAGTTCACCTACATCCAGTGCAGGTGGACTCAAACAATGATTGATCTGGACCAAACTTGGCACAAATACTCAATATGCCCAAAATGTGATCACTGGTGGAGTTTGGGGGAAATAGACCTTGACATTTGGGAGTTGTAGTTGCAGGGATTTATAGTTCACCTACAATCAAAGAGCATTCTGAACCTCATCAACAATAGAATTGGAGCAAACTTCCCACACAGAACTCCCATGACCAGCATAAAATACTGTATTTTCTCATGGTCCTTGGTGGCCCCTTTGACACCCTCTCATGACCCCCCCCCCCAGGTCCTGACTCCCAGGTTGAGAACACTGTCTTAGGTGGACACATTCAAATGCACCGGGACTGTGGTACAGCTGACTGGGAGTCAGCTGCATTAAGATAACTTCTGACCAAAAGGTCATGGTTCGAAACCAGCCCGGGTCAGAGTGAGCTTCTGACCAATTTGTGTAGCTGTCCTGTTTTGTTCTTCAAAAACAGCCTTAATATAAGGTTAAAAGTAAAATAAAAATGCTTTACTTCAGCAAACACAATAATAAGTAAATGCAATTGAAAAACAAGGAAGTCTTAATGCAGACACAAATGAAAGTCTCTTACAAAAGTCCCAAAAGAAATAGCAGACAATAGGCAAAGATCACGAAGCAGCAGACACAAAGCAGGTTCAGTCAGCAACAGAGTTGTTAGCAGTGAAAGCTGACTGCTCCTGCTTCTGATTTATACCCCATGCAGGAAGGGCTAAGGCGTCTCCTAATTAGCTCAGCGTTTTTAGCAGCTATTCGAGCTGAATGGCATTTGTGCTTTGTCTCTCTTCATCTCTCTAAAAATGTAGGCACTTGCAAAGCTTCATCATCTGCTTCTTCTTCTCTCTCCAATTCCTGAGCACTGCACTGCTCCCCTTCCTCCTCTGAAGATGAGGAATCCCTAACAGTAGCTTGCTGTCGACCTTTGCAGCCCGAAAGACAGTTGCATCTGTCAAGTAGAAAATTTGGGTACCGCTTATGCGGGAAGGCTAATTTACGGCGCCATAAAAATCTCCAGCAAGCATGCAAAGAATGAGGAAGTACTTCATCAGTGTCACAAATGGGCGGTGAAGCGACAGCTCCCCTGGTGGCCAGAATATCCTCATCAAAAAGCTGGAATATTAAATAGCCTCTGTGTCTGTCTATATATGTTGTGTGTCTATGGCATTGAATGTATATATACATTGTAATCCGCCCTGAGTCCCCTGCGGGGTGAGAAGGGCGGAATATAAATACTGTAAATAAATAAATAAATATATGTGGTCAACTGTGGGATGGGATACCTGCTCAGGTGGATAAAATCTTGATAGATCACTGTGACTCCTACCCCCCGTCCCCTGGGTCTTGCCTGCTGCTGCATACTGAAACTTGGCAGACAGAGTTGGGAGAGATTTACCCCCTCCTTCATCAAGCAAAGCCTTAGTGATGCAAGTCAGGTCGGCACGCTTATCCAGGATCACATCCTGAATGGCAGCTGTTTTTCCATTCACCAACCTGGCATTAAGCAGCAGGACTCTTGCAGTCCCTGGGTTGCCTCCGCCGCCTACTGCATCTCCTCCTGCCCTGGAGTGTCGTAATGGGCTCCCCTGCCCTTCAAGGCACATCATCTGTGATATGGTTGAAGGGATGATGTTCTTCCTCAATTCGCTACATCTCTAATTATTGCAATTACCTTAGTTATTAGGAAGAAAAAGAATTGATTACAGGCAACGCATTGTTCGGAACTGATTATGGCCAAGCTGCCTTTATTTTATTTTATTTTTAATCCACCTTCAGCTGAGAGCAGAAACGGGAACAGGATGGCTTTATCTGGATCGGCATTCATTAGCTCCTTCAAGCAAAAAATTAACACTTGCTCCTATTTACTCCCACACATTTTCATTTGCAGCCTCTTCTCCTTTCAAAGAACTTCTATCAAACCTACTTAAACTTTCCCGTTGGGTGGCCCATCCTCCCCTCTTCTTGTTTCATATGGATCCCATTAGGGAGAAAAGTGGGATTTAAATAAAGAATTATTATTATTTTATTAAGGTAAACACAAAGGTTTTCCCCTGACATTAAGTCCAGTCGTATCTAACTCTGGGGGTTGGAGCTCATACCTATTTCTAAGCCGAAGAGCCGGCATTGTCCGTAGACACCTCCAAGGTCATGTGGCCAGCATGGAGCGCCATTACCTTCCCACTGGAGCAGTACCTATTGATCTACCCACATTTGCATGTTTTCGAACTGCTAGGTTGGCAGAAGCTGGGGCTAACAGCAGGAGCTCACCCCACTCTCCGGATTCAAACCTATAACCTTTCGGTCATCAAGTTTAGCAGCTCAGTGGTTTACCCACTGCATCAATATATTATTCATTATTATTATTATTATTACACACATAATGCCAGAAGTCGATATTGGAAAACAAGAAGGGTCAATTGCTTATAGGCCCATTTAGTTGATTGGTTTAATCCGAGTTCACATTTTAATAAAACTTTTCTGTGTTTTTATGATAAAGCCAATTAGGAAATCACATTTATAAACCAGGAGCAAAAAATCGTAGTGCTACATAGTGCTATCTATCTATCTATTCATCCATTTATCTGCCCTTTATCTAGGTATCTATCATATCTATGGAATCGTGTATCTGCCCCCATTCATTTCTCAATTCCCTCTGTTTCTGTCTATCCTATGTAATCTACCAATCCTATCTACATCTCTATCTATCTATCTATCTATCTATCTATCTATCTATCTATCTATGTCTATTATCTATCTATCTATCTATCTATCTATCTATCTATCTATCTATCTATCTATCTATCTATGTAATTTCCCTATCCTATCCACATCTCTATCTCAATATCTATCTCAGTAGCTATCAGTCTGTCTATCTATCTATCCGTCTATCTATCTATCTATCCATTTATCTATCTTCTATCTACCTATTATCTATCTCTATTATCTATCTATCTAATCTATGTAATTGACCTATCCTATCTCCATCTGTATGCATCTATGTATCTATCTATCCTCTATCTAGCTATCTATCTATCTAATCTAATCTAATCTATGTAATTTACCTATCCTATCTACATCTCTATCTCAATATCTATCTCAGTATCTATCAGTCTGTCTATCTATCTATGTATCTATATATCTATCTATCCATTTATCTATCCTCTATCTATCTATTTATCATCTATCTATTTCTTCTATCTATCTGTCTGTCTGTCTGTCTGTCTGTCTGTCTGTCTATCTATCTATCTAATCTATGCAATTTATCTATCCTATCTCCATCTCTATCCATCCATTCATCCATCAATTTTTCTACTATCTAACTATCTATCATCTATCTATCATCTATCTATCTATCTATCTATCTATCTAATCATTTATCCTCTATCTATCTATCATCTATCTATCTAATCTATGCAATTTATCTATCCTATCTCCATCTCTATCTATCTATCTATCTATCTATCTATCTATCTATCTACCTATCCATCCATCTAATCCCCATCATCTCTCTATCTGTTTTGGAGCACATCCCCATATTAGAGGTCCAAAACATTTGTCAACTTTGCAGTTCCCCTGTGGCTGCGAATCTTGGAAACTAGAAAATAATAATAATAATAATAATAATAATAATAATAATAATAATAATAATATGGAGAAAGCAAGAATGGCGAAACCGGCTGAAATCAAGCAAAATTGGGCTCTGTTCCCTGCCTTCCAGATTGCCAACCCATCTG